GTTGGAACTTTCAGTTCCACTCCCCTGCCCTCCAGAGAGGGGAGAGGGTCTGGTGGTCGACTGAGTCAGCAATTGCCAATGATTTAGTCCATCGTGCCTATGTAATGAAGGCCCCATGAAAACCCCAAGAGGCCAGGTTTTGAAGAGCTTCTGGGCTGGTGAACACGTGGAGATTTGGGGAGAGTGGGAATCAGAGACAGCATGGAAGCTCCAAGCCCTTTCTTCATACCTTGCCCTGTGCATCCCTTCATCTGGCTGTGGATTTGTTGCATCCACAACGAATATCCTTTCAAAATAAAGCAGCAATCTAGTGAGCAAATGAGTTTTCCTGAATTCTGTGAGCTGTTCTTGCAAATTAATCGAAACCGAGGAGGAGGTGGTGGGAACTTCTGATTTGCAGCCAGTCGGTCACATCCTGGGCCTGGTGCCTGGCATCTGAAGTTGGGGAGGGGGGCGTCTTGTGGGACTGAGAAGCTCTCCTGTGGAATCTGTCTCTGGGGAGATGGTGTCAGAATTGAGTTGAATTCTTGGACACCCTGCTGGCATCTAAGAATTGCCTCCCCACACAGGACTGAATCGGGTCCAGGAACCCTTCAGGGCGGCCACTCCCCCAGAGGGCGGAAACTGTATTCTGTTAATACTGCGAGTACTTGTCGGACCTGCGGGGGAAGGCACACAAGGGAAGCCAGGGCAGAGCAGTGGCGCCAACCTTACCCACAGGATAATTACAGTTATTTCAGCCCTCGGTGCACGAGGCAGAGAGTCATTGGCATTCAAGTAGTCATTGACATTTGTCACTGACTTACTGAGTCAGTGGTTACTGGGAGCATCACTTGTCCAGCGTTCTGGGAGGGGCCCCTGGAGGGCTGGGGCTTGTTCTGAAATGCTGCATCCTGCCCTGTGGGGTGCTGGCCACAGCCCCCAAGTCCCAGGAACCAGCCCCTTCCTCAGCCCTCGGTCCCAGCAGGTCTGTGTCCTGCACCTGAGGCGCCTGCTTCTTGACCCCTGTGTGACTAGGCTGGGGGCATACGTGGGACCAAAGTGGATTAATTCCCACTCCCACCAGACGTCACAGTCCAGCACTCCTGGTCTGGTGCTCTGAGGATGGTGCCACCTGGTCTGGTGCCACCAGCTCTGGACAGGAGGGAAAAGGTTTGGGACCATGAATCCAGGAATCTCCTGGAGAGTGTCTGAATCCATAGGTAAGTCCTGAGGAAATGATCCCCTAGGCTCTACCAGGAGCTTGGCCGGAAGTGTCTCCACCGTGAAATGAGGGGAGCAGAGTAAGGAGTCCCCTAAGGATGCATGTTCCCCCTGGTTCTAATGCCCCGTGGCTGCAGCCACATTCCACCAGCCTGAGGCCCTGGGGCTCTCCCAACATGGATGCACTAGGCCCTCGGAGTGTGAACCCCTGGAAGAAGTCTGCAAGCCCTAAAGAGGGGATGTGAGATTTCTTTGAAGGGTTTCAGCTTTTTACTGAATGTTTCATAATAGAGCACAGTACTGCTGGTAGGTTTCCTCTAACCTTCTAGGTTCTTCTGGCTGGTCTAAGAATTAAATTGACCTGAGATAGAAATTTTAGATTTATACGTACAGGAATCCTACCTACATGAGACGGTCAGAGACCCCACACACATGAGAGGTTCAGAGACAGAAAGGTAGAATGAGGTCTATAGCCCATCCTGATCTGGGGAACAGGGTAGGGGCCTGGGGCTTCCAAGGACAGGAGGGTCGCTCACAGGATGACAAGGAGAAGAGCAGATGTTGGCTAATTAGATGTTTGCCCTGATGTACTGATGGGGCCACTTTAGATAAAATTTCCCTCTGGTGAAACTCTTTCCTGGGAAAAATCCCCAATTTAACTTCTTCTAGGTAGTTAGGGGAAGGGCAACAGTTTTGCTTGAACCCACAGGGTCTCCTGCCTTTAGCTCAAAATAGTCATGCAATAGCGGCATGTTTTGGGGCGGCTCATTCTCAGCCCCGACACTGCATATAGCATCTACACCAGGTGTTTAAAACGGCAGTGAAACGGGCGCCCACTCGCCCCGCGCCGTCTCCCATGTGTCCACCTCCCTCCTCTGCCCAAAGCAACGGTATCCTCAAATCTGTTTTGATCATTTTGGAGTGGTTTTGAGCTCCGGATTTTAAAATTCCGTAAAAATTTAAAACAGCCCCGCATACAACCAGAAACCAGAGGTTGGGAGTCGGTGTTGGGTTTTATTTCTTATTCTGCCCACACTGGGGCCCGTCTCTTCCCCGGGGAGTCTGCTTTGCCGGGGGGGCTGGCTTTTCCGATTATTTGCTTGACTGTTTTGCTTTCCTCCTTTATTCAGGTCCTTGAGGCAGGTGTTGATGTCACATTTATCTCTGTGCAGATTTAAACCTGACAAGGCCCAGCCTGCTGAAAAGGGAACCCTGACCCACCACACCCACCGGAGGGTAGGGGGCAGATCCCACCATTTTGAAAAGACCTCTGATCCTGCAGCTTGGTGCATCCAAAAGGCTGGGGTCAGTCACAGGCGGCAGAAATCGAGGTTTTACGGCATCTGCACAGAAGTACTACTAGGCTGAGCCACACCCAGATACATCAGCACATGATCTTACAACACCCCCCTCCCCCGACTCTAAGGACAGCAAAAGAGCAAAACTGACCACAGTCCCCTGTGAAGAAGTGAAATGACAATCCTGTAGGACAGAAAAGTCAGCCACCTGGGCTGGGCTCCCCTGCTCCTCATCAGGGGGCTCAGCGCACTGCCGCAGGGGCAGGGGGACCAGATGAGGCCGAGGAGCACCGAACTGGGACCCCCTTTCCCACCACAATACAGGCCTTCTGACAAGTCCTCCCCTTTACCTTCGGCCTGGAGTGAGGGGCACGCTTTCACAGGGACTACCTGACAGCCACAATTCTCGTACTGAACTCAAGGGCTAAGCTCAGAATAAGGGCTTTACAGAGGCTCTCGGGGCCGGCGCCACAGGAACCCAGGGCCTCCAGTTAAAAACCCCAAAGTATCAAAGCCAGTCTGCCCTTTAGGTTCTACCTGGCCACCTTTGAAAAGGGGACTTGTCCTTAGTGCCAGTTTAGTCTCACGGGGGACACTGCATGGCCACCAACACTCACAGACAGTCTTGGGTTGACAGCCTGAACTTGAATGTCTGCAGGATCAGGAGAGGGGCTGCAGTTTCTCAGAGCATGTTGGGAGTTGGGAGCAGACTGGGAGGGCTGGGGGGACCTGGCTCTGGGCACGTTTAGTGGTTTGGGAAGACGACTCTGACCCCTCGGGAGGAATCCTGGCTTTGGGCAACAAGAGAGGGTTTCCCCACATCTGTCAGAGGTTTCCCTCTCTGTGCAGATAGCATGGCGGCCAGCACCAGAGAGGAGCCCTGGGGCCCTGCGACTGGTCACAGCTGGGAGGAGTGGGGCAGGAGGCAGGCTATCAGGACAGTCCCCAAGGGGAAATCTGGAGGTGGAACACCTGGAACTTTCCTTCTCTCCTCCCACTGCCCATGCAGGTTGCAAGGGGGCTGGAATTCCCCAGCCAGACGCCGGAGCCCAGGTCCAGCGCAGCCAGAGGGGGAGATGCTAACTGTGACCCAATTCCAGGAGCAGCCCTGGGCAGGGGCCGAGGGGCCGGAGCACAGGCGCTCAAATTCCCCCAAAATGTTTACTTTCTAATTCCAAACTCAGTCCAGGTTTATGAATCAGGAGTTCAGAGGCAGGCTTTCCCTTATTTGGAAATGAGGGGGGTTGCAGTTCACTGTAGATAATTTTTTCCTTCTTCCTCTTATTTTACAATATGGAATCTGCTCACTTAAAAATTAGGCCCCAACTTTTACCATCTCTCCTAGACCTTAGGAAACCAAAGCAAATGGCTCGTTGATGCCCTCCTTTGGTTTGCATCCTCAGAAATGGAACACGAAAGGTTTTCCTTTAGGGGGGGTCCCATGAGCCTGAAAGATTCCAGGTGTCCTGACAAGACCTGTGGGTGTTCTGAGGAACTCACACTCCTGTGGTGGGTGCAGTTTGTGTCAAACGTGCAGGAAGCAAGAGCGGGTCAAGGGTGGGAAGGCAGTAAGGCACAGAAGGGCATCCGAGAGTGAAGTCAGACACGTGGGAGGTGGGTGGAGGGACAGGGATGTCCTAGACGGTGGCGAAGAATGAAGGGAGACAGCAGCCTGGAAGCTGCAGGAAAAGGATGGACAACAACAGGTCACCACGGGGAAGGTGGCACCTAGGCAGCTGTAAGGAACTGGAAAAAGAGGTGAAGGAGGCCAGGACAAACCAGAGGGGTCTCCCAGCTCCACTACCGTAGGTGCCTGTCCGGAGGTCGCACCACCTGTACAGACCTCAGTTTCCATTAAAGGACTGGACAGAGGATCACGAGGCTCCTTCCAGCCAGACAAGGCTCTCTCATTTAGGAGCGCATCTTGACCAGAAAACAAATGAAGTTGGGGTGGTGAATCCTTTTCAATGTCGGCCTCACACTGCGATTCCTACGGTGGGGCCTTTGCCTCATCCTCTCCCCATCCTCTAGGAGAGAAGCAGTGAAAAGAATCAACTGAGGATTTTGCCTCTGGTTTGGTTTTGCTTTGCTGGGTGCTGTCTGGAGGGGAGAAGGAATGTGGGAGATGGTGTGTCTGTGGATACAGTGGCTTGTCCCTGTGACCTTGTGCACTAGAAGCACAGAGGGTGGGTTTAGATTTGCCTTAGATGATAAATAAATCCTTAATCTCGGGCCATCCTGTCTGGGACCCGCCAGTGAACGCAGTCGAGGATGTCCTCAGTATTGTCAACAGTCCTTACAACTCGAGATGGGAGCCTGTGCTTGGGACCAGCTGGACCCCCAGAAAGTCACCTCCACCCCCATGCTGAGCAACTGATGGCCCTAACAAGACTCAGGACAGGGCCTCGCAGGGCCAGTCCTACTTACAGGAACAAAAGGGCTTCTCTCACTTCAAAAAAAACACCCAAATCTTCCGAAGAAAGATGAACAGTCTGGCAATTTTTTGTTTTGTACAGCCTAGAACAGTTTTATTGAGGTAAGTCTAATAAAAAATACCAAAAGGTAAAATAAAACACATTAAAAACTTTTTTGTAAGTATCACGCGTGTCTAAATTTGCATCAGATTGAAACACTTCTGCTTGCTTTGCAGAACACAATAGTTGCACAGTTTCCTTAAATCTTAATAGTCACCTGCTTTAGATCTTTTCAGGTTTGTCCACTCCAACCTCCACCTCCTCTCCCTGATGGGGTCCTCTGCAGTCGACGCTGCCCCACGCTGCCATCCCGATAACGCCCGGGGCCAGGGGGAATCTGCTTGCGGAGGGGCTGGCCCTGCAGCTGGGGCGGGCAAGGTGTTTACCCTTCTGTTCTCCCCTCTGCGTAGGCCCCGTACTCCTCCTGGAAGCCCACTCTTCTCTTTGCTTTCTCTTTGTCCCAGTTTTACTTACAGCCTGAATGGCTAACTGGATATTCTAAACACAATTAACTCCAGTTAAGTTTCAGAGTATTCCAGAACCTCGAATCGGTATCCAATTATGATGACTTTTCAATGGAAGCGTGGAGTAGCTGGGGAAAAGCCCTTGGACTGGAAGGGGCTGGAACAAGTAGAGGAGGATTTAGTTCCCTGTTTCTCCCTCATCACCTGGGCCTGGCCAACACTGTGTGCAGCAGATATGAACTGCTCACCCCTAGGAAGTGGGGACCCTGAATAGCCACTGGGGTTTGAAAGCAAATTCGAGAAAAAAAAAAAAAGCAATGAAAAAAAGTCCATCAGGAAGAAAATTTGACAGGTCCTTTCTGAATAACATTCCCCTTTCCCCTTTCTGACACTTATGATCAGATATAATGTAGGAAGATGCATTATGGTAAAAGGAATATTACAATAGCAGTAGTTTCCCATCTGGAGTGCTATTCAACTGCCTGCAGAAATCTGCACTTTAATGCATTTTAAACACATTAGGAACAAAGTGATGATTCTCCAAACCAAGGAAAATACCCCATAAAAAAATACAGATAGAAAATACATGCTACTTTAATGGCAAACTTATTTTTTGATACTTAATGGTAATGATCTTGGAATTAAGGGAGAGCAGCGGGGAGTACCCTTTGCCCAAGAGGACAGCGAGAACAGTGCGCCAGAGTGCTGGGTCCTTGGGCTGATCCGGGAGCAGGGACAGCGCCCCCTGTGGTCAGCAGCTTGACCAGTCCCTGTGCTGTCCGCTGGGACCGTCAGTGCTGCAGCAGGAAGTTGGTGGCCACGTTAAGGTCATTATTTGAAGCTCTCAGGGCTTCCAAAGCATCACCTCTGGAAAACCCCATCTCCATGAGCCGGGCAACCTGAAAACAGAAACAAGACCAGAAGCCTCATAAAGCTGACGACACTGCCACTGATCCCTTAGCCCCAAGATGCTGGTCATGTAAGTTTTGTAGGATAGGTTAAATAAAAAAGAGTTAAACAAATTTTCATTTCCATGTGAAATCTGATGTTTATAAAATTACAACAAGCACAACATTTTAAGGTGATTATATACAGCCAACAGATGTGCATTTTCTCACTGAATCCTCGTTTTAGAGATGAAGAAGGGGGTTGCCGAGGGGCGGTGACCTGCCTGCCCCCAGAGGAGAGGGCAGATGGGCTCCCGGGACGCCGCCTGCGAAGCAGGTCTGCAGAAGCAGCCCTGCGCTCCCCCGCCTTACCACACTGCTCCAGAGTCAAACGTGATCGCCGCAGCACACCTTACCAAAGCCGCCTTTCCCTACGCGCGCACACACACATGAACAACTGCTCGACTGAGGGTCCACTCCTGATGCCGGCCGACTCTGCCCGTGAACACGACTTTGAGGGCCTGGGGCCGCACAGGCAGAGCGCGGCGGGTGCCCGTCCCTCTCCCGCGTTTCACGGCGCGTCAGCCCCGGTGCGCAGAGGCGGCGAAGCCGGGGCAGAACCGCGCGGAGGAGAGCTGAAGCCACCGAGCACAGAACAACGAGGCCTGCATTTTTTCTGACCACAAATCCCGAAGCTGTCAATATAGAGGTTTCCTGTACTTTTATTATACAGGCGGTCTCCAGGGTCGAAATAGGCAGTGTCACTATTATTTTAGTTTATTTGTAAATATTTCGCACTTAAAAATGTATTATAAAAATATTTACGACCTTGGACTAGCTACAGGCTTTTTTTTTTTTTTACTTATATTGAAATATGCCACATTTGCAACAACATATAGTGGAAAGTGTTACTATTACAGACGTTGACATTTTCAACAAGGTGTGAGTTAACACGGACTGGGGACTTAGTCACTAATTCTAATCTTCCTCCGCGTGGGCCACCAAGGGCCGTGGCTACGGGTGGGAAGAGCCCTGCTTCCCACCCTCCCACCCCGGGCAGGAGGCACAGAGCCAAGCCGGGGAGCGTGCAGGGGCGAGGGAGACCCCAGACTCCTCGACGCCCAGGAAGCCTTAGGGAGGGGCTAACCTGGTTGAGAAGGGATTCAAAACCTGGGGTTCTGGTCAGTGTTTTTCAAACTGAGGCTGAGATCCCTCATCTGTGGGTCATGAATAGTTAATGGGTTAAGACCAGGATTTACAAAAAGCACGCACTGAGGGTCTTCCCTGCACAGAACCTCATTCTGCTTCTCCACGTGCACGCACACCCCCTGCACATGTGTGTAGGGGCTGCGCTCAGACATCGGGGCTGGCTGGCTGCTTCCTAAGGGCGGCCTGGGGGAGGTGGTTTCCAGCTGGACTCCCGGCGCTGGTGGATGGCGTGGACAGAAGGGCAGGGATCTTTGCTCTCATCTCCTGCTCAAAGAAAGAACAACCTTTGCCAGAAAAGCACGAACACTCTTCACTCATCAGCCAAGATGGAAAGCTCTTCTGCAAGTGAACACAATCTGCGTCTCAACTGGTTGCCACCCGTGGGAACTCAAAAGCCCTAATTTGCCTTTTGAAGCTACAGGAAACAGCCCTGCTCGATTTCTGCATGAGGCCCTGTGCGCATCCTCCTCCCCTCAGCCGGCACCCCAGCTCCTGGTCCGTCCCAGGCCAAGTGGCTCAGCATCTCCCTCCCTCACTGCTGGTGTGTCCTCCACTAGGAGACTCTTTCCTTTGCCCTCGGCCTGGTTAACTTGTCTTCATCTATGGGATCTGGGGCACGTGGCTCTTTCCCATGTCTCCCAGATGAGGAGGAACCCAGAGTAGAAGTCGCGTGGCCCCACTGACCTCTGTCCTGGGCTCCTCGTGGCCGTGCCTTTTATCTGCATGTATGGGCGTGGCTGCGTCTCCCTATCACACGTAAGCCTTCTGAGAAGGAGGGCCTCGGCTGCCTCTGTTCATCCCTGTGGTTCAGAATCCAGCACTTTCCAGCCAGCCCCTCCCCTTCCAACGCACACCTATTTGTGTGGTTGCAGAATATGGTCCCACTGGCATGGTCTTCCCGGGGCAAAGGGCAGCTGGCCTGTGCTGTCCTGTGACCCCAGCCCTCGTCACAGCGGAGGAGTGCTTTAGCTGGGGGCCTGCATGCAGCTACATGGGTGTACACATGCCCTGATTGTGTGGCCACATCATCCTGGGGTGGCGAGTTGGGCTGGGCCTGCTCTAAACCCTGCGTGAAATGTGCCAGGGCCTGACCTCCAAGCAGGCTTAATCCTGGTTCTGGGCTGTGCACATCTCTGTCAAACTTCTCTGATCACTTTCTAGCCAACCCAAACTATTTTCAGTTATAATTCTCTTATCTACTGTGTCAGTCAGCTCCCTCAAACTTGCATCGTCCCTACATCTGATTAGCAGATTTGCTAACCTCTACAGCGTCACTCAAGTTAAAATGTCAAGCAGACAAGATCACAGCCAGGGCCCGGGACTTACTCGAGACCTCCCATTTCTATCTGAGTGGCTCATCAACAGTTTTTTAGAATTTTAACCAGTTTCAAACTTACTTCATATTCTTATTATCCATGGCGCATGTCACCATCACCTCTGGAGGTGATGAGAAGGGCACATGTCTTGGTGGCATCCTGTGTCAACCGGAGCAGTTTGGTGCCTTCAGACCACAAGGCTCTTCACATCTCACGAGTCATCTGTCTGATAATCTGTTTCAGGCTTCTGCCAGACGTGAAACATCACTTCTGCCATTCAATTCTCAGAATCCACACTTTTCCCTTTCTTTGGGGCACGTCACACTGAGTGTCACTCAGGGAGAGGGGCTACAGGACTCGTGTTGGACGTGAGTCAACAGGGAGAAACCACCTCGTGGATCCAGGTGCACCTGCCAGGTTACTTCTCCTCCTGGGCTGAAGTAACGTTTTATGATGTTTGTTTCAATTACTTCTGGTTAAGGACTGGGATCTTCAGTGGGGCGAGTGTGACCCAGGGAGGAGGTGGGAAGCCTTCCTTGACTGTCACTCATGGACACGACATCATGGCCCAAGACTTGGCCATCCTCAAGTACACTGAACAGTGTGGCAGATACTGCGCTTGCTGTCACGTCTGTCACTTCCAGTACTTTCAGCATGGTTAAGAACTGGCTGCTTCTCTGCACCCAGCCAGCAGGAACAACTAGGCTTGTTCAGCAAATCACGATTTATAACCTGGAGATGATGACGCATTAGCCTTGCCCTGCCCGGTGATACTACCCGGTTGGGCTGCCAGCCCACAGCTTCCACCTGTACTCAAGTTTCTCTCCACCAACTGAATCTGGAATCCAGAAGATGCTGGGATGGGCTACTGCACCGGGGCCAGGGTGGGAAAAGCGCCTGGGGTCCAGGATGGTCAGGCCGCATCCCAGTTGTGTAAGTGATGTCCCGGGTGAGGAGAGACACGGTCCTGGCATGCGAGGCTTCCTCCCGAGTTCATTCGTCTTCAGACACAAACAACCACACGTGCTGTCACCGGTTCTGACGACTGACCAAGCTGGGTTTTTCACAGGTTTTTGCTGAAAAGAGTGTTTGCGGTTACATACGTGCATCATGCCTTTAGTGAGAGCTGGCTTTGGAGCTTCTGGTGTTTCTTCGGGGGGAGAAGACAGGTGGGATGAGAGAATTTTCACTGCCAGTACTGTGACCAGTGAGAGAGCTCACGAAGTAGAAATAGTATCAATCACAAGAAGAAAGGGTATCTGTAAGTCTCCCTCAACGTCCAAAACTATAAACATCCACAGAAAAATGAAATTGCCTGCCTAGGCATGGGTGTGAGGAAAATGATCAGAAAACCCGAGGACGCAGAGAGAGAGCGGTCCTGACGGTGCTTTCCAGCTCCCCGGGTCCCTCGGTGGCCGGTGCCCTTGGGGCCCGCAGCCAGGCGGGGTGGCCGTGCCTCCCAGTGCTGCCGCTCTTCGGGGGGCTCAGCAGTCGTGTCCAGGATGGCAAGAACCGCGGCAGGACCAGCAGTACAGTCAGCAGATGGCTTCAGCCCTCGTGGAGGACACTGCAAATCACGGGCTCAGGCCTTAATGTTAATCAGCGCCCGACCTGCACAACCTCGTGCGTTTCCTAACCATCTGCGAAGGCTCATTTTCACAGGAGGCATGACTCCTGAGCTCAGAGGCATCAAGAGAAAACAGGCCCATGCAGCCCTGTGGGTGGGTGGTCGGGGAAGCAGAAACCGAGAGGATTCTAGAGGTTCACGATTCCTTAGAATAAAACAGGAGAGGCTGGCAGCTATTTTAGGTCTGACCCAAGTGCAAAAAAATCACCCCAGCTGCAGCTGCTGGGAGGTGGGGACCCTGCCAGGTGGCAGAGGGAGCTCCAAGATGTCACTGTGTGAGCCCCGGTCGGGACTGAAGCCTCCGGCTCTCAGCTTTCTCACAGTTCTGAGGCTAAGAGAGACGTGTGTGAAAGGCCTGGAACAGTGACTGGCACGTATCAGGTGCTCAGTGAGCGTCACCTCTTAGGATAATTTTTGTCTCACTTAAAAGTGATCGGTCAGGTGTGTGAGGACTCCTCTGAATCTCTCCAGCCTCGGATCAGAGCATCCTACATGACAAAACTGCCCTTGGGTTTTGTTTTTGGCACTCATTTTAACTGCTTCCACTTCGCTAGTTTTATATCCTTTGTTGGTTAAAGAACTGACGTGTCTTTTACTACGATCAAACGTAGGGGGCCACGGTGAGCGCGGAGTGGCTGGAAGGAGGTCCCGGAGCAGAAGAGCCACCTCCTCACCCCCCAGGACCTGGGTCACTGGTCCAGGGAGAGGCCTGTGCTCCCCAGATGACGGGGATGCACCCCGGCTGCACACCTAAGCACACCCACACCTCCCGCGGTGGCTGAATACAGTCATGCTGAAGAACAAAGCAAGCAACTTTTGCTGCTTACTTCTAGGCTTAAATCATGTAAAGAAGAATTGCC